GAGGCTTTGAGCAACCTGGTCTAGTGGAAGGTGTCCCTGCTGCTGGCAGGGGGGTTGGAACTGGATGAGCTTTAAGGTCCCTTCCAACCCAAACCAGTCTGTGATCTTGTCCTGGGGTTGGTTAAGGATAGAGTTAATTGTTCTCAGGGAGCTGGGAGGGGGGTGGCTGGGGCAGGTGTTCCATACCAGGTGATGGTATTCCATCATATGGAATTCCATTCCATCATGCTCCCTATTTAAACTGGGAACTTCTGGGAGGAGGGGGCTGCTGGGTACCGTAGTTCATGAGCCGGTCCCGCGGTGAGCCGTTTTCGTTTAGTTTTGTTACTCTTTCATTACTCTTTCATTAGCACTGTTGTTGTTGTTGTTGTTTGATGTTGTTTCTCCCTCACTATCCCAGTAAACTGCTCCTGTCTCAACCCCTGAGCCCCATTCATTTATATTTCCTCCTCCCCATACCCCCAGAGGGTGGGGTGGGGGGGCAGGCAGCGACCCTTCCTGGTTAAACCACCTCAGATCTATTCAGTAGAGTCACAATTGGGTAGCCCTCTCTTCCCCCACTATAAACATGACATTTAATGTGCCTTTCTGTAAATACTGATTTGTTTATTCATTGTCTATGGGTACAGTCCCACATGGATACCGAGTACAGGTGATGCTGGGCACTTTGAAGGATCAGGTGGTGTTCACTCGATCAGACTCGCAGCCAGCAGAACTGCTGCTCTCAAATGCTGTCTCTAGGCCAATGCACATTGCTGCTGACATGAGCAGCACATGGTGTCCTGCCCTGAACCCAGGTCCCTCTGCCTCTGGGGCAGTTTTTTCACTTCAGAAGAGCTTGCATTCACAGACAGCACAAATAAACTAGGTCTGGCTCATCAGGGACCTGCCTTTCAGCATTAGCTGTTCAGCTTTGCCCAAGGAATCTCTGTTACTGTCCACAGGTGGAGTGGTTCAATCGGTACAAAAAGTCTCTGGCTACCTACATGAGATCAGTAGGAGGAGAGGAAGGGCTGGACCTTACACAGGACATAAAACCTCCTAAAAGCCTCTACATCGAAGTGAGTGCACGATTGGTGGGTTCTGTCTGTGAACAAACATTTTGCCCAACCATCTTTTTTTTTCCAGAGAATTTCACCCCCATCCCAAGTCAGAAGGTCATTGAGCAAAGCCCTCGAGAGCACCAAAGCTTCTGCATTTTACTCTTTACACTCTGCCTGCCAACACTTTACTCCCTTTTCTACTGAGGGCTCAAAGTATGTCAAAAGGTGGCATTTCTAGTCCGCAGGGAATTGGTGTGGTAGGGTGAGTGGTCTGAATCCCAGCGAGTTTTGCAGCATTTTGCAGAAACTTAACCAACTCTCAGGTCAACTAGAAGCCTTGTTCCCACGTTAAGGAATGTTAACTAGTTTTCTTTGTTGTTATTTTAAAGGGGCTCTCAGAGATGAGACTATAAATCATTTTATGCAATTGGTACGGTGAAGGAAGAGCATGTGAGAAGTCAGACTCAGTGGTTGATGTTCTCTTTGAAAGAACATGTAATGACAGTCTACCTGCTCATTAAGACAGCGTCACTGTTAACAGAATGGCCTTTTCTGGTACGTGTGTGGGGAGGTTCTCCTGGAAATGCTGTTGCTGTTCTCCAGACCCTGTCTCTTCTGCTGCTCTTCCTCTAGTCTCTGTGGAGGGCTGGGCTGCTCACTGGTGCTTCTTGCTCCAGGAAGAGAACAGTGTCAGGTAGAGTCTGTGGGATGGGTCCAGTTCTGCATGTCCAGGTCTGCTCTATCTTGAGGCTCCAGCAGGCGGGTAGGAATGTCTCTGTACTTACAGTGTTAATGTGTTGTAAGTCAGCAGTCACGTCTAGTGTTTCCTACAGGAGATCAGATGACCCAAGAGCTGCGTTTCCACTTTGCAGGTGCGGTGTTTAAGAGACTATGGAGAATTTGAGATAGATGATGGTACCACCGTCCTGTTGAAGAAGAATAGCCAGGTACTCATGACAAGAGAGTGTGGTCCATTCTCTTCCTTCACTTTCACTCCCATGACATCTGCACACAACCATGAGCTGGTTGTCTGCAGCAACAGATCGATTCTGCTTGGGTTTCAAGGAAAGTTTGTCTGTGTTTCTGTGCAGCACTTCTTACCCCGCTGGAAATGCGAGCAGTTAATTAGACAAGGAGTCCTCGAGCACATTCTGTCGTAAGCACGCAGGACAGGAGGGACAACCCTTGCTTGGTGGCCCACCCACAATGGGGACTGAACTCTGGTTCAGTGTGCAGGACTTCAGACACCTCAGTGTTTCTGCAGTGGGTTCCCTGCTACTCCTCTTAACAGCCTTTGACACCTGACACGAAGATCAGCCCTGAGTTTATAGTATGCAAAGCACATTGAGCAGCTCCTCATGACAAAAGGGTGCGTACTGGTAATCTCATGATCCTGGGAATCTCATGTGGGGTGGGGGAAAGAGGGGGTGTTGTCCAAGCCCCACAGCTACCAGCAGGTTTTGTGAATGCATTTTTGTTTGGAGCAGTTCTTTATTCACACTGTACAGGTAGGAGTAAGACACCAACTGTCTGAACTCCAGGAGCCAGGAGAGCTCCATAGTTGCAAAATAAAGAACTGCTTAAACCTTCAATTTTATGTTTTTCAAGAGTTAACATTATGTTTGTTAAACACTAACCTGGCTCTCTGGCCCAACCCATCTTGACCTTGTAGGGCCATGTTCAACTAGTTATTTAGGTGTCTCAGTGGAGCTGCTCCTCCAAGTGTCAGATGAGGATGCACAACTTCTTTCTAGGATTAGATGTGAAGCCTTGTCTCCCATCAGAGCCTACAAATGTTTCTTAAGGTGCTGAGTGAATGAGTGCTGCAGTCTGGGTCACGGGCCTGACTAAGGTTTCTTGGGCTGTGGCTGTGTCCCTCTATGAAGAATCTCCTTCCCCAGAGCACTGGTTTGGCAGGGCCTAAGGACTACTTGGAGTAGGGGTGGGAAGGGGAGCAGAGGGTTTTAAGGATTCAAGTTAGCCTAAAACCACAGCAAGGCTGAAGAGCTGCTCTCCCTATCTGGTTTTCCTAATGGAGCTGCTCACTCCTCAGTAGTGGCTGAGAGATAACACTTCCAAAACCAGAAGCCCTAGGTAAGACTTGAGGTTTCCCTAGCCCCCATCTCCAACAGGAGCCAAGATGGGAATACTTAGGGAAAAATACAGGAACAGGATAAATCCCCAGGATATTACTGCACTGCTCTTCCAGCCCCAGCCTGAACCTCCCTGAGCTAGCCCACACCTTCTGTGGAGCTTCTAACAGCCCATCTTCCCTCATGGCCCCTGTAATCAGTGCTGCCCCCAAGGCAAAGAAAGAGGAGTCTCAGCAGTCATCCACCTGGGCAGAAAAAGCATGTCTAGACATAGAGGCTTCCTTGCTCACAGCCTCCAGCCATCTCCTGGTACTGTCCCAGGGCCAGGGAACCTCTCTGGCCTGTCAGGCTGGGACTTAAAAGGCAGTGGCTGAGTTTTAGCTCACAGCCAATTATCCTGTTTTGTTCTTGAACCAACAACAGCTTGACCTGGTTTTAAACCCTTCTCTTTGTATTGACTTCGTCCATCCTCTGTTTTGCTACCCTGATCCAGGCAGGCTTGTCTACTTTTTCTTGTACAGCAGTGTCCATAGCCCCCCAAATCCAAGGAGTCCTTTCACAGCTAGTGGCAACCACAGCCCTCAGGTAACTGTCCTCTGCTCTGCAGAGAGCAAGGCAGGGGTACCATGACAACACCACATCCTCCATGCAGAGTGTAGAGCTGTAGGCAGATGATAAATTTGGTATTTGCTGATGTGAATACTTGGCTCTATGGCCTTTTAGACAACTTAATTTGGGCAAGAGCAATACTCACTGCTAGTGTGTGAAGGTGTCCTGGTTTTGCTAGGATAGAGTTAATTTTCTTAGTAGCTAGAATAGCTGTGTTTTGGTTTCAGTGTGGGATTTGTTATGAGAAGAACGTTGATATGGTACTAATGTTTTTTAGTTATTGCTGAAAGTCCAAGGACTTTGTGTTTTGCCAGGCTGAAAGTGCAAAGGACTGGGTGGAGAAATGTAATTAGTAAAACCCCAAATTGGCATTTGGCTGTCCCGTATCATACCATGTCATGCTCAATATATTAATGAGAGTTGACCAGAAAGTGGGGAGATTTCTCTCAGGGATTGCTTGGGCTCTTCTGGGATTGCTGTTTCATTTTTGGGACTGTCTCTGCTCCGGGATTGCTGGCTGGGCACAGGCTGGACATTGGGCAGCAGGTGGTGAGCAACTGCACTGTGTATCACTCATTTGCATATTCTATTATTACTGTTATTATTTTATTTCAGTTATTAAATTGTTTTTATCTTAACCCTTGAGTCTTCTCACTTTTCCCCTTCTGTTTCTCTCCCCAGTTCTGGGGGGTGGGGGTCAAGGGAGGGAGTGAGCGGCTGTGTTTGGCTGCAGCCAGTGAAACCTCCACAGAAGGCCAAGAAGGAAGACGACACAGCTCACATACCCCATCTCCTGGTCTCTGAAGAAATGCAGTGCTGCTTAGGGGTCACCAACCCTACCTCAAGCTTTGGAGGCTCAGACTCAAAGAAGGCTCTTCCCTCAGCCCTTTTGTCCTGCTCACTGCAGAGGCAACAATCTGGCCATAGGTTGGTTTGGATCCTAGGCTCAAGCTTTAGGAGGGTCAAAGCCTCCTAGAGCCTAAGAGGAGCTGTAGGGAATAAAAGTTCAGCAAACAGTTGGGGGAGGCTACTGAAATACAGAGCAGACTAGAGATAGTAGGAGGTGCTGTAATGTCACAAACATTTTAATGCCACAACACAGCTTTCCTGCTTGGAGTGAGCCAGGTGCAGGAACCTGCAAGCCTTCCTGTCCTGGCTTTCCAGTCTTAACACCATGGCCCCAACAGCAACCCTCTGCAGAGGGAGGATCGGCACCACCACCAAACACGCTGCCAGACTGCAGGCAGCTCCTGTGGGATGGCTGCCCTGAGACTTATAACAGCACCCTCTGCCACTGAGAAAGGCACCAAAGCTGGTGCTTTCAGTAGGAAAATCCAGCTATCCACAGGATCAGTTTCCCTTAAGGACTCGGTCTGGTTTCTCTGTTTTCTACTTTCCACCCAGGAAAATCCTGGCACTACCAGGGAGGACAAGGCTGAATTCCCAACCCAGCCATACCTCCCCTTCCACAGGACCAGGGGCAGGGCTGCCACAGCATCACCCACTCAGAGATGCTGGTGTGATTTTTCCAATGAGCTGCTTCAGAGCTGAGGCTTGCTCCTCCAACAGCTGGTTCTTCTCTTCAGTGCTCTTCTGCTTCAGCTCAGCCACCTGCAAGGCCATTGCAAACCCCCTGTTCTCCTCACGGAGGTCTTCAATCAGCAGTTTGTTCTTGGAGAGTTGGGCCTACAGCAGGGACAGGAGGGTTTAAGGTTCAGCACCCCATGCAGGGGTCCCAGCCAGGCAGGGACACACAGCACTAACCCCTCTTGCACTCACCTGGGCATCTTTGAGCTGAGCTGCCCTCTCTGCCAGCACAGCTTCAGCACTGCTCAGATTGTGCTCCAGCCCCTCTGCCTGCTCCACAGCTGCCCGCAGCAGACGCTCATGTTCCTCCTGCAGCAGGCAAAAAAGCCCAACCTTGGGTTGTCCCAGCACCCTGGCCTCTGGCAACCCTGGACCATGCATTTCCCCAGGGTGCCGCTCACAGACCTTCACACTCCCTAAAGGAGGGCATGGGGGGGATCAGTGGAGGTGCAGGACGCAAAGAGCAGTGGGACAAGTGTCTAGAGCAGGACAACCTTCCCTAGGTCAGCACCAACTGGTTTTAAGACCAGACACAGATTTCCCAGCAATGCTTTCTATACAAACAAGCCAATGGCTTCCCCTCTCTCAGCCATATCCAGAAAAGCCCAGGGAGAGACGTAGTTTCCTCAGATGCAGTTTTTGTCTCTGCTCATTTTATTTCCTTAGGTTATAATTTACTCCATCTTTGCCCAGGTTAGTTCAATTAAATCACAGTGTCCTGAAACAAAGGACAAACTCACAGAAAACCAATAACTTGTTGGCCAGTGCTCTAGAAACAAAAAACACCCCGCTCTGTGCCGGTTACACCTCCATGGAGAGGGCTCAGACTTTCCTTCCCCAGCCTGAGCCAACACAGAGTGTCTCCCTGGATAGCTCCTGCTCCTCTAGGCACAAGGTTCCTGGTCTGGGGTAGGTGGATTAGAGTGGGGAAGGCCCCTGTTTGAGTGCAAGGGTGGTGACTGGGTTCATGAGAAAATGACAATTGCAGCTGAATTTGAAGATCAAGTGCACTTTCCTCTCTGGTACCCTTGACTGAGTTCCTGCAATTCCCTGCTTACCTGGGTCCTGACCAGCTGCCTGCGTGCCTGCTCAGCCTGCTGCTGGAAGTTTTCCTGGAGCTGCTGAGCCTTGCACTGTTCTTCTCTCAAGCTGATTTGCAACTGCTCAAACTGTTTCTTTGGCACCATGTTGTTCATTTGGGCCTTGGCCTGCTGCAACTGTAGAGTATGCCGAGTCTGGGCCAGGCTCAGGTTTGCTTTGGCTTCTAAGAGCTGTAACACAGAAAGGCCAATAGCTGGTGACAGCTTTGTGCCAGCAATGGGACAGGATCAGCGTGTGCTGCAGGCGAGGGGAGAGGTTAGGAAGCACCCTCAGCCCCTGCCTCGGCTCTCATGCCAGCACGGCCACAGCAGAGCAGCAGGACCATGGGAGGGGTGGTTGCTGGGCAGCCCACAAAGCCAGGGATGGAGAGCACCAAGAGCTGCAGGAGAAGAAACAGGGACCCCTTGCTGAGAGATGCTCCCCTTGCTGAGCAGCAAGGAGCAGGGGTTGCTGGAGGGATCCTCTGGGAAGAAGTCCTAGCACCAAGGGTCACAATGGCAGGACCCTGCCACTCTTCTAGCTCCTGTCAGCTGAGCCAAGGGTAACCACAGCTCCTGGCCCACCTACGTGAGTCACCCCCACTCAGCCTCCATCTCCTCTGCCCAGCCAGCCAGCACAGGACAAGGAGAGAGAGCGGACATCGCAGGGGCAGCTGCGAGCAAGGACCCATCCCAAGCTGCACCTGAACTGGCTTCAGACATATCTGAGAGGGAGGGCGAGTCCTTTGTCCCTCACAAAGGG